GTTAAAAAGGGGGTCAATATTTATTAGACGGTTTCTAATGAAACATTTTAAATGCATGGAATCCATGGTTGTACCTCGCAGCTCTTGCACTCGTAACCATTCCCCTTACGCAATCTCCGTCTTCTTCCGATCGTCACTCCTCGTCCGCGTTATCTGCCGCACGCTTGACATTAAAACGCTATGAATCGTTTCCTTCTGCCCTCAGCCTTCTGCCACGGACATGCGCCCGTAACTCCTCGCGCAAGGAGTACCGAGGGGATATTTTGAGCATCATCGAGGGTCGAATTTATGCCGGGCTAATAAAATTAAAATTTCATCTGTGAGAATGAGAAATTGATTTTTAGCAGTGCTGAAGGAACGAAATTGACTATATCGTAATTCAGTATGTCATGTCGTAAACGCCGTTCGTTGTCGTCGAGTTCTTCTTCCACAGCGTATATCATGCGACTTTGAAGTACGAAATTAACAGTATCGCGATCACTTGAATCCATATACTTGGTAAATTATAATAAAGTATTTAGTAGTAAACTAACACCAGCGTGGAATGATAAGAATATCTCGCCGATATTAAAAAAAAATATCATTAGAACATTTAAATAGTCCTTCGTTACATTCATTCGCTGCCGGTGTAAAATGTCACCTCGGCTTGCAAGTGAAAAAGCACAGCGTATTCTCGTTCTCGCAGGGGGCAGAAAGGGACAAGGAAGAGCAAACAGAGAAAATAAAGGCGAGTTTTACGAGCGAAGGCATTTTTCTCGTGACAAGAAGCGAAACTCGTTACCTTTCACACCGCCGTCTCGTTTAGACGCCATGCAAAAAGCAGATTGTCAAAGAAGAAAGGAAAACGTCGGGGACGCGAGCGGAGATGTCGCTCTCTGGCCGCGAAGAAAACGTGAGGTATCAGCAAGTACAATTGCTGCAACGCAAGTAAATAGCTGGCTGAACGCGAGCGTTTTAAAGATATCTCTTCACAAGTTCGCGTGTTCGGTTGTACTTCTGCGAAAGTAGATACATCTACCAATAAATTGGACTGTCTAGTAATTGTGATTGATCGTTTCTACAGTTGCAATGTAACCTTACGAATCTTCGCGATGAAGTTGGATACTTCGTTATTACTTCACGTGATGATTACTGTTTCACTTTTATTCGTCACCGCGAACGTCCTTATTCAAATTTAAAAACGCTTTAGGTATAGGTGAGCTGTAAATTCGTCTCGCGATAATTTCGTAGTCGATAAGTATGCACGTGAAATCGTCCAACCAATATAAAATTGCGTAGTCATCGACTTTAACGATGTCGTTTCGCGCAATAAGATGGCTAATCCTGTAAACTGGTCGATGTTATATAAAAAAAGGGAATGTGGAGATTAGCGGGACGACCGAAGGATTATTTCGAATAGGCTTAATCCGAAGAAGGTAAAACGTTTTGGGTAATTGACCAGTGGTGAACGCAGTTAAAAACAAGAAAAAAAAAACGATGGCAACACAAGCTGCAGATCAACTGAATCTTAAATCTGCTGTAAAATTTTTTATTATGTTTCTTTCAAGCGAGATGCCTTTAATTCGCAATCTGGGGAATTTAATATTTTAGAAATATTATTCCCTCTTTCAAAGAGCATTCCTTACAATAATGCTAATGATAATTACGTAAGTAACGCATTAAATCTGCATTATTTCCGTTAAATCTTTTTAGTATGAAAGGCAATAATAACTATTATTCAAATCAATCACTTTGTCAACAGAGACTACATCATTTATAATATTTTAATGTGATGAAATGGTCGCGTGGCGTAATCAATAATTTCGTTTAAAGCAAGGATATTTCTTAGACCCGAGAAACATTTATGCCCCTGTGCCGTTACAGGAGGAAACTCGTAGGAGAAAGAGTATAAGTCGCGGGTAGACAGGAGCTAGTGGTCCCCTGGCGACATCTTCTTCCTGACTGTTTCCACCTGAAACCTGAAACTAATGGCGTCTTCCACTTTGGTACCTCGGTAAGTAACTAAGTGTGTAACTAATCACGCGCGCAGCGCATTCACCATGTCCCCTCTCTTGCTTCTGCTCTCCTTTCGTTCTAGCAGCAGCAGCAGCAGCAGCAGCGGCAGCAGCAGGGGCCATTCCACTGTGGCTTTCGTGCATCTGTGTGTGGACGTGGAGCAAGGAGCCGTCGTTCGATTAATCTCCGCTAATACTTACTCGCTACTTCGGCACACCTCTCCACCCTTTCGGTCGCCGGCCACACCGCCTCGCGTCGGCCCCTTGTCCTTGCTACCTCTGAGAGGTAATTTAACCTCGATGCCTTCTCCCCTACCTCGGACACTCGATCTATCGGTTACTAATGCCTACCCGCCACCGTCTGGGATTGGCAATCATTTTCATGAGTTCATTCCCGATGCGGGATTCGAGAAGCCAATGAGCCGGGGATTGCTCCTAGCCCACCTGCGCGACCGCGCGTTCGTTCGTCTGTCCATCCCGCCGCGCCGTCGCTTCCATGTGTGTGGGAGTCGATGGGTTCGAGATAGATGATCGATACGGGCTCGCAGTGTAATTGGATGATATTATTTGCCTCGCCCGATATATTTATTTATGAGGCGTTATATATGTACATTTTTCCAGTCGAAGATCCGTGATTCGATCTTCTTCTTGGCGAATACGTTATCAAGATTGAAATTTTTCAACGGATTCTTCTTAAGCTTACATACCTTTCATATCGAAGCTTTTCGATACTTTTACGACGCGTAGTTCAATGTTACGTGCTACTTGTCTACATATCTTCAAGTTTCTTCCGCATTGATTTAGAGATTCTTTCGGGAAGGCAGGTAATTTTAAGTTTGAGTTATGTGGCAACTTGCAGTGTAGCAATGGTACGTTTGAGTTACTTAAAAAAGGGAAGCGGGATAATACTTTACAGTCACCAAAACTACAACTTTAGAAAGAGAAATCCCGAGGTTTATATCCTCTGTCATAAAGTGCGAGTGAAGTTTTCTGCAATAAGTCCAACTTTTCGAGCTTTGCATCTCTGATTTTGGCCTGCTGGTAGAGAGTTACGTATAATATCACGATTTACCGCAAATATTTTAGTAAAACTACATGCACCTAGCAAAATTCTACAGACACGTGCCAAGAAAAATTCTACAAACTTAGTAAATTGTATTATTAAAAAGTTTATAAAAAATTCGTAAAACAAAGAAAATAATCTTTGTACATAAATACCGAAGCAGTTATGATCGTTATAATTATACGTAATATTGAAATATCAATTTAATTTTTAATTCAAATCTAATATTAATAAAGGGCTTTAAATAATAATAATCACAATGAAATAAGTTTACAGGGTATTAATCTGCTAATTGTTTGAAAGAGAAAAGTATCTTAAATTTTCATTGTCAACTTAAGATTCAGCACACGGTCTTCTAACCGTTATGTGAGCAGCTTTAATTATTCTGGGAACAGCTTACGAAAAAACGTTGTATGTTAAGAAGAAGTCACATCCGTAATTTAAAATTTTTTAGAATTTCTGAAGATGGCTCAATCAAGCAGCCGAAATATGTCAAGATTTCGAATTTAAAAGAATAGGTTTGAATATCAAACTCATGTAATTATTATTTAGATATATCAAATCTAATATTGTCTAAAAAAAATATTTTCATTTATACAATGGCCCAACCGTATAGGCCTCAGTTTCATCTTCCTATTTAGCGCGTGTATTAAGAACTCCAGCTACTAGTTACAATGATATTAATAGATGCGTTTAATTAGTAGCCCGTGAGGTTTAATTAACGGCCAGTGACGAGGTCGTGCGGCCAACGCCCGTAATAGCGAGATAGAGAGAAGTCGTCGACGGGGAACGTTGTATGTATATGCAGTAGAGGCGACGCGCGTAACTGACTGCACGGTTCGCGCGTTACATTGCGGAGCGCGTACCGGAGAAATAGCGGCGAGAGAAAGAGAAGACAGAGAGAGAACGGGACAGAAGATTGTCGGGGTATGCAGAGACGCAAAAGCATGTATAACACGCGGGTGTGCATATTCTGGTGACTGTTTGCATTGCAATCCCACCGTAAACCTGTTCTTCCACGCGACGCGATGCGACGCGGTCGCGGTGCTTATTATTCCCGAATTCAGAGAACGAGCTGAGTCCACGTACCATCGTACGAACCGCGGTAACACCTGTGCGTTATTCCTGGGAAACACGTGCCGTGCAACGCGGAGCGGGCGCGCGTGTTTCAACGAGATGATAATTGACACCGACACTTGGATAGGCCTTGGAAATCGACTCAACGACAAATATTTATTCGACAGAGAGGACGGAGGGCAAAAGGCAGGAACGTTGGCTACCACACGAACGAACCTACCAACGTCATGCTGTTATCAGTTATACTAAAGCATAATACACAATTGAAAAGCATAGACAATAGGAACAGGGAATAACAAATTTCAACCTATCAGAAACCGTGTATTCAGGTACACATAGTTTCTGATAGGTTAAAATCCGTTATTCCCTGTTTCTGTTGCTTGTGTTTTTCAGTTATGCGTTACACGCTGAAAAATATGTGTTGTTTATTACTGTGCAGTGTCTATATAATTCTCATTTTGGTTAGAACAATATAGTTTTTAATTCACATATCTCAATGAAGTAGTGGTTATTCATACCCGGAAAAAAGACTTCTAAAATCAACCATAATTTGTTCATATACGGGGTATCTCACAACTTCCTCCTAAAGACATATTCTTGAGGTAATTTTGAGACGAAAATTCTAATACAAAAATGTCGAGGCTATATAAGCCCTATATAAGCAAAAATATGTAATCTTGCTTCAAATATTTTGATCTTGATTTGATTAAATTTGTGTTGATAATGTAAATATTTTCTTGCACTCAATTCAATACTTGCTCAATCAAAAATCTAGCATTAATATAAATTCAATCAAATCAAAATTAAAATTTTTGAAGCAAGATTACCAATTTTTTTTTATAGTACCAGACGTCATACTTTACGCTAAAAAAACAATTTTTTCCTTTTGCAAAATTACGTCTGACAAGTAGTTTGCAGGAAAGCAGGTTGAAGTTGTACGAGGTAAACGCAAAAATTATTAATCGAATGTAATTTTACTACAGGAAAAAGTTGTTCGTTTTAGCACAAAAAACAACTTTTTCCTTTAGCAAAATTGCGTCCGATAAGTAGTTTTTACAGGAGAACAGGTTGAAGTCAATAAGCGCAAAAATTATTTATCGGATGCAATTTCGTTAAAGGAAAAAGTTGTTTGTTTTAGCATAAAGTATCACATCTTGTACTTTGCGGACGCGAATTTGAAAACACTCTATATGTATATATATTTATATATATATACATATATTACAGTTGATTTAAGAATAGTCTTTCTTCTGTGTACCAAACATTTCTCTCAGTATGGTGTTAATTTCACATCACGTTGGCGTTAATATTAACACCAACACGATGAGGATTATATAGACACCATGGTGTTAAATCAACATCAATATCCTTTAGAGTGTAGGCTTAACAATAAGCGTGAGAATAGCGACGGGGTGGATCGCTAATAAATGAGGGTGCGCCTTCTCGAGTTGGATCGATGGATAATTCCGAAAGACGCCCTGAGGCGACCGCTTGTCGTGTCGGGTTGTAATCGCAATGATGAAGACCAGTGAAGATTATCGCTGCTGCTTAATTTTTTGCTGCTCCGCGCGAAGGCATTTAAACGATATTTGCCGCGCTCATCTACCGAGGCTTATTCGCGACATGGCCGATATCGCGGGCGCCGCGATAAGGGTCGGCGATCGGTATAATTCGATAAATCGGCCGCTCGACGGAATTGGCATGCGCGATAAATTCCAAAGCCAAGCCGGCCAGATAAACGTCGCGGATGCGCGGCGAAAGGGCAACGCGAGGCGGTAATTGACAAGTGGCATCACCGAAACGGAAATTTGCGATAATGGCCGTCGCCACGATGGG